CCCGCGCTCCGCTAAGGAAACCTCTCACTTTTCATGCAGACCTCTTCCAGGACTTGAGCCAGTTCCAGGAGACTTGGCTGACAGAAGGTAGGCTCCTTCCCCTTGCTCTGTTTGGTTTTGTTCGTCTTTCAGTTGTTTGTCTTTTGATGTTTGTACTGCTCCTTTGCTTTGTTTGCCCAGCTCCAAACATTAAGTATTTTTTTCAGTCTTGCCAACCTCTGGCTTGTGTAAATGAAGACGCATGAATCACACTATTGTGCCGGGTATTTGCTTATGAATGGAACTTGGCAGTTGGCCCACTTTCCTCGTTACAATTTTCTTTTATGCTAATTTGTCACTTATCTTTGCTGGTTGCCAGAACGTTGGTACTTTCTTAAATAAACTACTATTATAATTCGGGGAACGAAGTGCTTTTCTTAACATTTTTTTTCTTTTTTAAGATAACTCTTTGAAGTGACTCTCCTGGAATTTACACACTGTTCAGTTTGGTGTCTGTTTTTCCTTTTGACTTCAAGAAAACTTCAAATCCTAGGGAGTCCCATTAATTCCAAGTGAAACTAGTTTTAAACAGCATGGTGAATTTGCTCTAATTCCAGTACTACAAATGATCCATTTTCTAGAAAATTCAAAACATATCCTCAAGTACAGACTCTTGGTACATATAAAAGTACTTACGGTGACATAGTTACTTAACAAATATTTAACATTAATAATATAAAAATATGCATGGCATTTTGAGCAAGATTATTTCCTCTAATTTTACCACAAGTGAAGGACAGTCCTGTTAAACAGTTCTTTTTGTAAGCTTCCAAAAAGGTATTTGCCACCTAACTAAGATTATTAAGGAAAAAAAAATCAAATGGTTTAGCTTAATTTCAAACTGAAATGAAATTACATTCATCAGGCAGCGTTCAGGAGTGTGAGGATTATAAGGATGGAAGAGGAATTACCTGGAGGCTGTTCCAGGACTGAAACACCTAGCTAACATCGGAGCAGAAAAATAGGTATTAATTGCTGGTCCTCTAATAGATCTGATGATGTGCACACATGCTTGAGACTGGTTTCTCTTAAATCTTCAAAAACCTCAAGCTGCCAGTAAGAAAAGTTTGCTTCAGAATTGATTTCTGGTAGACTTTCAATTTCAGGCTTTCTAATGTTTGATGATATTTTTAGCTCCCTAATCTAAAGAATTTGCATAGAACCTCTTACAATATGTTTGTCAGTAGCAGAGTGTTCATAGAATGAATTCATAAGTACCCTGGGGTGAAGGGAAGGTCGCAAATTGTCTCATAGCACTGTATCCAAAGAGGTAATCTGCTATTATACATGATTAGCAAATGATAATGCAAACCCTATTGCATGTTTTTAGAATATAGGCAGAAGACACTTTTTTTTTGCATAGTTCATAGCATCTATTTAGAGTCCAAGTGAAATCTTTGGGAAGAGACTTTTAGTACAGGACTGTAGCTGTCTGTAAGCATCACTGTCCAGATGTCACACCAGCCATGCCCTTAATTTCACTTCTTTTCTGTGGTCTGTTGGTTCTAGTATGTAATTCTCTTAGTGAGATTGTCAGTGCAGTAGTAGCCTCAAGGCAATAGGCTGTGGAATCCAAACTTGGCTCACACAATGTGATCCCCATTATTCCTTCTATGACAATGTTGCTTTTTAAAGATAATTCATAAAATAAACTGTGTAGGGTGTGGGGTTTTTTCTGTTCCCCACCTTTTATCATTTATATTTGCAGTTTGTTGCCATACAGATTATTTTAAGAAACAGCGACAGCAGTGCGAAGAGTTCGGCTAGTTCCATTCTAATCCACTGCCTGTTGTTAATGCCGTGTTACTCCCTAAGGTTTATTTTTGGCATGTCTCGTCTAGCTTAGCTTCAAGTGACTGAGATTAGTGGGCTTCTATTTCTCTGTCCCTTTTCTTCGACCACATCACCTTTGCTTCAGACCTGAGAGTGCAATCTTTTGTCCACTCTGCAATAACAAAAACTCTAGGTTTTTTTTTGTTACGTACTCACAGCAGCACTTCTTTCGGCAATAGTTTGTGAGAGATTTTGTGAAATAACAAACTGCTGCAAGTGCTCCCTTCCCTGCAGTAAGAGGGATGTAGAAGTAATTGTTAGAAGTAACAGGACACATGCTATGGTTAAGTTTCTCCCCACAGTTTCTCCCAGGGCACAGCCAAAAGCTTAGTTCTTTGTCAGTCCTGAATTTACCGCACCGCCTGCTGTCCCTGGGCAACGGAGGACTGCTCAGGAGGTAGACTGAGGCCATATCTGAGCTAGGCTCTGAGTAATGAAGAAAAAAATAGCTGTGTATTAAAGTATGGGCTAAATTCTGATTAGTAATCCCAACACCAGGATGGTAGGCCTCTCTTGCTTCCTTAACACCTTTTCCTTCTGTGGTGAGGAAGAACGCAAAGGTATTTGTAAATAAATGCAGATGGTGCTGTCAGGAAGAAAGCCAGATTGGATCACTTCCTTTGGTGGCCTATCGCTGTGAGATGTGCTTCAACAAAATCATACGCTCTGGGCTGCGTGCAGGCTGCCCAAGACGCTGTTCTGCCATGCTTATATAGCTCTCGCAAAGGAAAGACAAGCACAAACCACCCTGTCGAATGGGCAAGCATGCACACTTACATTTACAGGCGGAAAATCAGAATGAATCGTTCCCTCTGTGAACGCACAAGGGCAATGTTGATTAAAGCTTTTCTCAGCGAACAAGGGAAGCAGGAGCCAGGAGACTATGTGTAGCCAATTCCTCTGTGAAATCAGAAAAGCACTAATTATGTGTACACTGTTTCAACACAGGAATTTTAGTATAATAGCACCATGGACTATTATAGCATTTAATTTTGTATGCTGGAATAATCTCTGAAGGCCACACCTGTGTACCTTGCTGAGTCAACCTGGAGGTGAAAAAGGACAATAAAACTCTTTTTCTTCCACTGTGCCATTTCATTGTTTTATTACATATTTGGCAATGGCTTCAATGCAACTGAGGCATGGGCTCAGGCCACACTGTGGTCGTGGATCCATGAACAGAACGATGTAAACTGGAGGTGGGAGAAGGCAGGCATCTATGTAAAGGCAGATGACGAATTTACACAAACGATGCCATAAGGGTTGGCACAGCTGCAAGTCTTCACCAGACACCAGCTTCCAACCACTGTCACATTTTTCACAGGCATCACAGGAAGAAGAATTCTGATATTTTATTTTATAATAAGTACTCCAGGAAGTGACAAAACATACTGTAAAGCACATAGTGAAAGACTCTTCTAGTGCCTCCACTGTGGGTGCTGTGAGAAACTATATCCACGCGGGCTTTACAGTTGCTGCAAAGTCGAGCCTTTCATGTAAATCAGAATAAATATGACCTCCTGAGTTATGAAGAGGCATCAACTTATAAAGTGTGCTGCTGACTTTTCAAGCCTCACCAGTTAGTCTAAAGGGGGCATTAAGCCTGAAGCTTCTTAACATTGAGATAATAATGTTAACTACTTCACTGCTTACAAAATTCATCAACATCTCCTTCCAGGGAGGTAGGCTGTTCCAATGTAAACGAGACCTCTGCAGATTTTCAGATATCTTTATTAGACAATCTTTGAAATATTAAAATATCTTAGATTTTGCTGTTATTCTTGCAGTTGTACTAACAGTTCTGCCCACAAGGCAGATGCGTAGAAATAAGCTTTACTGTGCTGATTTGTAGGGACGGTTTGTTTGCTGTGAGGTTCTCTATGACTACACCAGCACTTCCTCTTAATTCCCCATTTGCGAAATCACACATACATGCAAGGCACTATCAACCATTTCCTTCTCCTAACGGATAATTTTGGTTTTTAATTCTGAACGTTCTTCTGTTTAGTTACAAGCTGTAGCTTATTCCACTGGTACCAAGCCATCCACTGCTTCTACTACTGAAAACGTTGTATATGAAGGCACAGATGTTTCCTGTTCTGATCACCCCTTTGGCACAGCCCTTCCAAATTTATCAGTTGGTAGTTGTTTTTCCTATGTGTAAGTGCTTAAAAATCCTTGCATGTTATGTTTCTAATGAAAACTGTGATCCATGACCCAATAAACTTGCTGTTATCCTTATTTCCAAGGTAAGGGAGAAGGAAACTGGCAGGCTGTTAAGGCGTAAGTCTGCAAGCAGAACTGCATTCACTAATCCCAAGGGGAAGCTCTCCTCAGTCAGTAAAGTGGACCCCAGCAGAAAGCTCAGATTTTTTTCTGCATAGACGTATTTCTGCATAGACTGCACAAAGTGCCACACCTAATTCTCCCCGTATCTCTCTCTCTCTCTTCCCCCTCCCTCCCCTGGCAGCTCAGGTTCCAGACAGCGATGAGCAATTCGTGCCTGACTTTCACTCAGAAAACTGTAAGTAGCACGGGGGTGATCACACATCCTGGGGTAGAAGGGCAGGACACACCTAAACCAAATGAATACGTAAATGCAACGCACAGACACGTGACAAAAAACCCAGGCTAACTGTCCACATCTGGACAATGCAAAAGTATCTTTGTGTGGTGGCAACCACCCCAGTCTCTTACGCAGAGTGGTTTCAACATGTGTATCTTAGTCGGTGTTTGTGTGAATAATTAGGCACCCCTGAACAGCTGAGAAAATTATTACTCTGACAATCAAAGGTAAAATTTGTGCTATCACTCATCCAAAAGCAAAATAAATCTACAATATGTCATCATATTAGTGCATTATAATTTAATGCAGTGCTACGTGGTAACGCTACTCACAAGACATGCTTACCAGGTATGTCAATGAAAGAGCATTTTGCATAATGCAAATGAAAACTTTGTTTTTATGTGCTGAAAAACAAGTATGTGCATGCTACCCCTCATGACGTAACAGAAAATGCCTGTCCCAGCCCTGAATAACTTGGGGAATACCCACTCTAATTCCTTTTCAAAGTGCTCTGGATTATCACACTACCTTACATTTGCTCTTTTAAGGTTGATGTATGGTACAAACTAAATCAAGGGCAGAGCTCAGGAAAATCCAGCGCACAGTTGCGCATTTGATATTTTGTTCCTCTCAGGGACAGCTGGACAAGGACAAGGAGGTAGCACCTCAACTGACGTTTTACTGTCTGATAAAAATATCTCTCCATAAACCAGAAAAGTGTCGACTTGATCTTTCATTTCTCTCCCACAGTAGCTTTTCACAGTCCTCCTGCTAAGATTAAAAAGGAGCCACAGAGTCCCTCCTCGGACCCCACGCTGTCCTGCAACCACAAGCAGCCATTCCCGTACCGCAATGGGGAGCAGTGCCTTTACGCCAGGTAACGCAGCTCACGCAGGGGAGGGGCAGGGCCTGGCATGAAATCAGGTGCTGCTGCATTATCTAAAACACAGAGTTACAACAACCACCTGGTCCGTCTGCTGGGAAGGGGCAGTGCACACGTGCTGCAACACAGATCAGCCAGCGGCTCAGCTCAGGGCAGCCGTACACTGCACCGGAGAGCGCAGACCTGCTCAACACCTGGGCTTGCCTCTTTTTTCTTCTCCCTAGTGCTGTTCCCCAGCTGTCCTGATGCTGAGAGCAGTCTTAACATCTGCCACGTGCCCCTCTCTCCCCATTGCTTTCCAAAAATCTGTCCCGCAAGGAGCTCCCTGACACCACTGCCCACAGTCCCAGCTACTTGCCTGAGTTAGAGTGAGTCTTCTTCAGTACAAACAGCTTCTCCAGCTTTTGTCTGTGGAGAGTAATCGGAAAGGAAGGAGTCTGTGCTGGGAGCTTCCTGGCCTAGGTGGCTGCAGAGGGGGACAGCGTGCCTGTGACACCTGCTCCCCAGGTGCTGCCACAAGTCCTTCTCAGAGAACTTTAATGTTCCAGCGTCTGTTTGACTGTTGCAGTGCCTATGATCAACCCGGACAAGCTGGAATCATGTCCCCCAACGCAGGAACCCCGACACAGCCACCACTCCAACAGCTCCCCAGACAGGACAGGAGCCACCTGACCCCTGCGGGGCCACCGCACCCCACACCCGGCTGTGGATACCTCAAAAAAAAACAAAAAACACGGGTGACCTGCAGCCGGGGGGCGCCCGCCACTGGCAGAAAGGATTTCCCTCCTCGGTGATTCAGGGAGGAGGGGCTGCAGCATCCCAATTAAAGTGCTCAGTTTCCAGCAATCACAGGATTCCCCCATTCCAAGTAGCTGGCACCCAAAGGGTTTACAGAAGTCGTCTATAAACTTCAGCCCATCAGATTCTGTGAACAATGGGCACCTCTCATTGGTGTCCCTTCCTTGCTACAGCTCTGTGCAGCTCCCACAGTCCCAGTGACGAGCTGAGGCTGTGGGAGTTTCTGTCCCTCAGCCAGCCCTGCACCAGGCCTGAGGCCAGAGGGCCAGGACAGAAGCCGTGCCATGTCCTCTCCTCTCTTCTAGCGCTGCGTACCAGCCGCCTGGGGAGATGTGCCGTTCCTTCCCCTCCTCCCAGGGCATGGCCCCAGAAGACCGCATTGCCCCCCAGCATCAGATGTCTGAGCCCTGCCTCCAGTACCCTCACCAGGGCTTCAAACAGGAGTACCATGACCGGCAGTACGAGCAAGCCAGCCGGGCAGGCAGCAGCCGTCAGTACGCAGCGGCTGTGGTGGTCAAGCAGGAGCAGGTGGACTACGTGTACGACCCAGGTAGGCAGAACGGCTCTTTGTGACACTAAACCTGGCATCAGCAGCGCGAGCAACTTCCTGGGTGAATACCCGTCACTGGTGGTCTCTGGGCTTCAGAACAGTACTGCTTCATCTTCAGGAGCCTGTGCGGTCTGGGAAACCAGCTGTGTGGCAGGAGATGCAGGTTTTGTCTTCAAGGGGACATTTGAGCTGGTGAAACAGGGCACACAGAGGAGATAGCAGAGATTTTAGAGGATCACAAGAGAAAAAAGTTTATAATTCCCAGAATAGCTCTCTAGATCCTAGATCAATCAGGTAATCCTTTTATTTTTCCAAAAGGGATGAATCTTGTTTTTTCAGCAAACTTGTCCAAAGACTTGCTACCCTGACATCACAATACCCTCTTCTAGACAGAATATTGCTTCTTGTTTCCTGGTACTTTAATGGACATTTTGAATTCTTTCGTTTAGCAGAAATAAATACACAAACAAAAAGCTTCTATGAGGGTACAGAATCCACCACTGTGGTTATGCTGAAATTACATTTTCACTGGGTCCTTCTGTCCAGAAAGGGGAAGAAAATGTGCAAACCCAGAAGAATGCTTTTTGTGAGAGTAGTTTATGATTGTAATAATACCCAGTCTGTCAGCTCAGAGTACCCTTCTGCCCTTAGCATCAGCAAAATGTCTGCTGAAAGCAGCGGCTATAGAGAAGAGTATGAGGGAAATGTAAGGTAAATCTTTCCGAAGCTCTCGGCTACAGCCTCCACTTCAGCTGTAGATGGAAAATGGGTTTGATTCAGAAAATGCAGATTCAGAAAACACAAAATACAGAAGATACACATTGCAGTGCCCAGGCAACAACATATGCTGCACAGAGATAAGGAAAAGACTTTCTGCTTGTTTTCAAACTCAGGCTGTTTTTTCTCCACTGTATGTGAGAATGCTCTATCACGATGTGAAAAAGCCTGGGAGACTTAAGACATCTTATTTGAAATGATATGTGTGAGACACTGTCTGCAGTAAACATCCAGATGCTGCCGCTGCTCTCCATTAACATCATCATAGTACCCCTGGAAAAATATAATGCCTGCTCACCTGTGAAACAGTAGCAGAGTGCATAGTTATCTTAAACTAAGAGAGGAGACGGATGTCATGGGATAGTGCCACAAAAATTTACTAGCGTAATTCATGATTGGAAGCATGATGAAGATGAAGTTGTGGTGGGATGGCTGAGACGTAAAAAGTTATCAGTCTGCTACTAACCCTTTAGGAGGGCCCTAGGAGGATGTTGGTTAGACAGCCGCACTTATCTGTCCATCTCTGGAGAGACAGACCATTCTGCCTTCTGTGCTCTTTAATTAAATGAACTTTTAAATTGTTCCACAGATGTTCCTGGCTGTCCTTCCATGTACATAAATGTTGAGAGTTATCCAAGCCATTCAAACACAGAAGATACACTAGGTAAGACACTCAGGGATCCCTGCACTTCATCACCCTCTGGTACTACCCTGTCTCTGTCTACGACTGCCTGTGTTGCCTTCTCTTTCAGGCTGCAGCTATGACAAGCAGATGAGGCCCTTTACAGATGATGTCTGTGTTGTTCCAGAAAAATTTGAAGGTTGGAGAAAGAATGTCTCACAGTTTGGGTGTAAGATAGGGTTATCCAGCATCTTTGCTAGCCACTTGACCACTGTCTATAGTTCATTTCACTGTGTTCTTGCAGGTGTGTTAGCTGTGGTTCATACCTGGCTTTCTGGTATTCCATTCATTGAGCTTTTTCAGCAGCAAACAGGCTGCTGCATAAGTAGCTTAGTTGTGAGGTTCATCAGAGCTCCTCTTGGAAGAGCTGCTGATGAACTGGCCACTCTGTTTTATGTGAGCTGAAATATTCCAGGTAAAAATTTGTAAAATGAGTTTTGTTTTTTGGTTTGGTTTTTTTTGCAACTGTTTTTGCACTGTTACCCTTAGAAACACTGTGTGTGTTCTTT